GATATTACACATCAAAATCTAATCAATGGAATTTTTACAGTTTCCAAACTTCTAGTCAGTATTTCTACGAGTGACCTGACTATAACACAACAATAAACAAAAACACATTTTATGTAGTGTAATGAATTATAAATTATTCTCTCTTTAGGTATATAATTGGAATAATAAAGCAATTCTTATAGCCCGTATGATTCCAATTTTGAAATAAGGGATGATATTGCTAGCAACTGCATCTTCCTTGCAGGAGGAAGCAGGATATTACACATCAAAATCTAATCAATGGAATTTTTACAGTTTCCAAACTTCTAGTCAGTATTTCTACGAGTGACCTGACTATAACACAACAATAAACAAAAACACATTTTATGTAGTGTAATGAATTATAAATTATGCTCTCTTTAGGTACATAATTGGAATAATAAAGTAATACTTATACCCTGTATGATTCCAATTTTGAAATAAAGGATGATATTGAGAAAACATTCTAATGTGACACTTGTCTCTTCCATAAAATGTGATTTTAGTTTCTAGGCGAACCCACGCCTAGTTCTTCTTCTGAAAGTTTAGTAAAGTCTTCAAGGTTAGTAAGGAATGTCACAACTCTATTCTGCTCCTCCACCTGGCGAACCATGCCAATCAAATCCAGCAGTTTCTTCATGCCAATGAACACCCTGAACAAATTAGTTCCATTAAGTTCCAAATAAATGAATACCTTTATTAGCATAAATCTAAATCTGAGTCTGTGTTGGAATTAACTGTATATTTCAACTATACAGGGTATCCCAGGAGGAATGAGCCTGACTTCCGGAGGGTGTTCCTTATGTTGAAGTATGCTGATATAACCCAAAACACCTATGTCCAAAGTTGAACGGTTAAGAACATAATGGCCCGAGAAAAGTGTGGTCTTCTGGCGGGTCCACACACTTTACCTGTCAGCTGACTAGTCTTATCTATGTTTGTCCTTGAGTGTGGTGATGACGGCTCACGTCAGCCCCACACATTCACATACCAGAACACGCAGTCAGCAATGTCACATCAGTGCTTGCCATTCATGTGTCATGTATAGTGCTTGGAACTCTAACGACAACTTTGACATGGCATGCGAGTTTTCTGTAGTTCGATTCAAAGGCTTCATGTCACTCACAAGTTAATTTGATGTTGTTATATTTTAGCATCCTGTTGCACTGATTTATGTCCATGATTTATTCTGACCGTCTTACAGTGCATACATTTATTCACCTTACTCTTCTCTCTTGCACTACATGTTTCAGCACTAAAGTGCCATCTTCAGGTGCTTTTCTATGTACGTCGAACTACTTCATTGCATGCCCTGTTGTCTTTATACTAAAATAACTAAAATATATATTCGTCATATATAATGATAAATTTTAAATGTTGAAACTGTTCAGGATTTGTCATCCTTATGTCGTATCTCAATACGCGATAGGTGTGACTCGCGTATTGAGATACGACATAAGGATGACAAATCCTGAACAGTTTTAACATTTAAAATTTATCATTATATATGACGAATATATATTTTAGTTATTTTAGTATAAAGACAACAGGGCATGCAATGAAGTAGTTCGACGTACATAGAAAAGCACCTGAAGATGGCACTTTAGTGCTGAAACATGTAGTGCAAGAGAAAAGAGTAAGGTGAATAGTTTGATGTTACGTACATTTTTAACATTACAGAAACCACATATTCCTGCCAGTTTTAATATGTATTTGGTAACCAACAAGTGTGTAACAGCTGTCAAATTTTCACACTTCTCTGGCCATTATCTCCGTAACCTTTCAACTTTGGACATAGAAGTTTTGGATTCTATCGGCACACTTTAACATAAGGAACACCCTCCCAAAGTCTGCCACATTCCTCCTGGGACACCCTGTATATTGTGTATTACATACCTGTGACCATGTATCTTGTGATATATTGATGATAAATCGTCTTTAGAGAAAACACTGGACCGTTCAAGAACAACCATTAAATGTTTTGCCTGTGATATATTTGGAACATGAAGAATAGCTCTGAATGCTGAGAGTATTCCCAAATCTTGTAATACTTTCCTAAGCACAGAAATAGGAAAATAAATTAGTTTAACCATTCTGCCATAAACCAATAACTGCTCCAACATTCTAACTGCAACTCAGTACAACACCTTCATTCAATTACAGTTTACAGGGTCTTTAAAGTTTTCTGTAACTTTGACAAATCTTCCATATAGACAGTAATTAAAAAAAGAAATCTAGCCAAAACTGAAAGATATATTCATTATACTGTGAGATAATTCATTTTGAACAGAAGAATATATAACGAGGAGAACCAACCAGAAGAAAGTGAAATGTCCAACAAAGCCACCTTACATAACTATCTTAAATTTAAGTTACCAGACTGTTTATAAATTTCATTCACTTCTCCAATTCACAACCTATGACTATGATTTCAGTATCAAATGACATTTAATGTGATAAAATTCAGTTTCTCCATGACATGTTTCAGTTGCAGATGTAGCCTTCTCGGCATCCTGTTCCTGCAATAGCTGTTATCAATAACATAACACAGGCATCATTATTATTTTAAGGAAACATCTGTGAATATGACAATAATATCATTTACCTTAACACTTTTACTGGCGTGGGAGCGTTTTAATGCCTGGATGATGCCAGCTGTTCCCTGGCATTGGCGTGTTTTAGCGCTCTGATAAACTCTTCCCTTCTCTGATCTCTTGGCACTCATCAACCAAAGACATATATGTGATAGTTTTTGTGCATGGTTGTAAAAAACCCTTGTTAACTTTGTGGGGGTCTATATTACTGTCAGAAACCTTCGAGAAGGAAAAGGTCAGAAAATATTTCACATTCATTCAGTTTCACCATGGCTTCTCGCAGCAAGTGTAGGAGTGTTCCTACAGACCAGCTGGAAAGTGTTGTGAACGAGATTTGTGCTGATGATGATAGTGGCGATGAAATAATGATTCCTGAATTAGATGAAGTTGATAGTGACAATAATACAGTGACGGACAGTGATCCACAAGACAGTAATCATGAACATTTAGCCACCACGAGTGCGGTTCCTGACACGCCCATGTCATGGATGTACGGAGACATTGTACCAACAATAGTTACATTTACTAGTAGTTCCGGGATCAAAACTGAAAACTGATATAACACATAAAATGCACCCCTTTTCATGGATTAACATTTTTCTGGATGACTTAGTAAATCACATCACAACTGAAACCAATCGCTATGCTTACCAGCACTTCAACACACGAGTTAGCTCCACACTCTCAAGAACACAATTACAAATATGTCACACCAGATGAAATCTGGACATACTTAGGAATTGTGTTCATGACAGGAATCAACAAATGCCCTGAAACTGAAGACAACTGGTCCACTAGCCCCCTATTTCACACTTCATGGTACGGACAAAAGATGTCTTTGTGGCAGTTCCAACAGATTTCAAAATTTCTTCATTTTGCACGACCAGCTGACTGTGAAGATTGCCTGTATAAAGTTAGGCCAATTACAGACTCATTAGTGGGGAAATTCAGAAACACATATATCCCTGAAAAGGAAACTGCAATAGATGAGGGAATGATCGCTTTAGTAGTAGACTGCAATTACCTTTTCCGATTTCTATTGGTTCACTAACATTATTGTCTGAAAGATTAGTTTCTTTTGCAATTTCATTTACTTGATAAACTTTACTTGTACTCTTTATCCTAAAAAATGATTCTGAACACCCATGACAACTGGAATGTGTCTGCCCTTAATGCTCTCTGCAATGAGTCACGTCAGCTTGTCCTTGCCTCGAGGATTAAGATGCAAACCATGGACAGTATGTTCGCTCCTCAATATTGAAGAGACATCAATCGCATCAATGTGGGCCGCGCCGACCTCCACAAGCGAACGCTCAAACCGAAGATTAATCTCCCTTACACACCTGTTAATCCATGGCTTGTCATGTCGCCAGAAAAGACCAACAAACCTCACATTGGTGTGACTAGTTTTCTGGGCAATGTCACTTAAATCTTTCTCAATTTGATAATTGAGGTTTCTCTCCAAACTGTTACCTGGCCCCCCAACTATAACTACCTGATCTTCCTTACTAAAACCTTTGCACAATTTTCCAATGTCCCCAGTGACATTGCTCAGATCAGCATTGGGCTTGAATATGCTGGTCACAGCATATGCATCTCCCATTGCTTTCTGTAGCCTCTGCCC